TAAAAACTACCGTATAAAGTAACAATAATATTTATATAGTACAGGGTATCCCAAAAGTCCATACAGTACTCTTAAGCAGAATTCACCCCCTTTTATTTCAGCAATAGTTCTAAGTGCCTGCAATGAACTTACATGTATGTATTCATTCTTGCAAGTAATCCCCTCTCTATGTTTCTCAGTCCCCTTAACAGTGATTTTAATGCATTCATTCCAAAAGATATTCTTCAGTTTATCAATACTGAATACAGTACAGTATAAGTATGAATACATTGAATACCCTGTACCGTATATCCATTTAATTATGGTTACAGCACTTCATTATTACTACTACTACTACTATTATTATTATTATTATTATTATTATTATTATTATTATTATTCTACAAGAAAAGACATGTAGATGTGAATTACTGTGATGTAGCACTGTATTGATGTACGATAGTGACAGGAGAATGTATACTGTATGTAATGTTACCTGGTGATGAGTCTCTGCTTTTGGCTTTATTCTGGTAGTGCCGTTGTACATGTTCCTGTAGTTCCTCTGTCACAGACTTAAGGGGGGCTGTCCCTCGCTCTGGGTGCATGTACTTGCATTTGTTACCATAAGTACATTTACGACCATATGGACATGGTGCTTGTTTGTCTCGAGTACTTCGCCGTAGGAAAGCATCTAGAGTTGGTCCGCTTCTTCCCAGTGGATCATCAGGAGGTACAAAGCGACCATTGACCCATGAGTACATAAGCAAGCTCTCGTCTATTACCCGGCGGAAGGCCGGAGATTCTGCAGCTAAGTCACGGTAATTATCGTTACTGACGACAATGCCACCAGAAGTCCCTGCCTCTTTGAGGATGTAGCGGTCATCATAGGACACAATGCGTTTGCCGCCACATACTCGTGAAGGTGTAAATACCAGGACACGCTCCTGCTCCAATTCCAGTAGTATTTCTTGGTCAGAGATGGGCGTGTCCCAGCGGGGCGCCTCCTTCCTCCAGGCAGGCACAAAGACTGTGATCTCTGTGTGACCACGTGCACGGAACCAGTCCACACACACACGCAGCCCACTACACGAGAAGGATGTCTTGTTGCCGTGACTGAAAATGAGATAAATGAAATTAGCTGTTTTCACAAGTAATTAAAACACTAGTATTAGATATAAAACTTTATGCTACAGTAATTTGAATGAAGAATAAACTTTTGTCTACTTTCATACTACAATACTGTACAATAAAAGATGATAATGCTAACCAAATTCTACTACCGTAGTGTGGATCGTGTTGTTTTTTTCCTTTACATGTAAGTAAAAAGTTTCTAAAGAAGGGGAAGATTTCCTTTTTTAATTCAGAGAAAATATGTGGTTGAGCAGTTACGAAGAAATGTGAGAAGTACAGGTACTGAAAATAACTGAATACTGTGTATGGGGTAAATGGGAAACAGTTGAATGCTGTCTAGAGTTTTTCTAGAGAGGGAAGCTGGTTCCCAGTGTATATAGGACTACGTCAAGAATGTGTAATTTCACCATGGCTGTTTACTCCTTTTGTGGATGACATAATACGCAAGGTGCAAGCAAGATTGAAGAGAGAAAGGTACAAGCTTTGTGAGTAATGATAAGAGACATAAATGGGAAGTGAATCAGATGCAGTTTGCAGCTCTGACGGGATACACAGAAGAAAATATTAAATGTTAGTATATGTCGAAGTGTGTTACGTGAGAGCTGATAGTGAATGAGAACAAAAGTAAAGAAGGGGGACGGGGAGACATTTATTCTTGGTTGAATGAAGTTATGATGGCGTATAAGGAATGTTTCAGATATACAGAATGGGAGTGGATGTGTCAGCAAACGAAATGATGAGTGATGTTATTAACCCATTCAGTTAGTGAAGGAAAGAATAAGGTGGAATAAGAAATGCAAATGAGAGAGAAGAGAGAGAATTGTCTCAAAGGATGAAAACACAGATGTACAGGGGAAACTTTGAGCCAACAAAAAAATTGCAAGCAAGAGCTGGGGGTCAATAAGACGAAGAGAATAAGAAAACAAACAAAGATATACGGAAATGAAAAGTGCTTATGTAAGTGAAGGTCTGGTGGTGTGGCACACTTATGAGAGAATGGTAAGGAGGATAAAATGAGTTTCTGAGGGGTGAATGATAGAACAGAAAGGATTATGTCAAGAAGTGAGTTTTGGTGAAGGATGCGTTGCTGAGGAGTGATGTGAAGCAATAGAGTTAGAACCTTGTGGAAAGGGAGTACCAAAACAGAAAACATCTTTTACGGCAGTAAGAATGATTGCATAGCAACAAATAAAAAAAACTGTGTGTACTGCATATGCCCTTGTTTCCTGCCAATTATTTTGCTTGAAATGTATAAAAAAAAAAAAGTGGCAAAGCAAAAGCAACCCTATAACCTCATTTAGTCAAAGGTGATTTACTAGTGCCGCCATTCTTAAGCTGAAAGGTGCACACCCACAATACATGTACAGTATCGCTACCAGTATACAGTATA